CCTGGTTATGCCTCTAGATGATTCCTGGATTTTAGTTTGAGGGTTGTCAGCAGAGGACTCAGCTACCTAAAGCACCAGGATCCTTAACTTAGAAATATTGTGAAATTTCATACCTGGTTGGTTTTAAGTCATCTGGTTTGTAGTGATTTGTTACACAGCAATAAAAACAAACAAAACAACAACAATAAAAAAAAAAAAAAAACTGATGTTGGCTCCTAAAACCAAATGTGTGCATCCCCTAGAGCTGACTCAGCTCACTCCTAGGAATTTCTAGCAGAAAGGCATTATGGGCTTAGCAAAGCATGCACACAGCTGCCCCTTGGTATCTGAGGGATTGGTCCTGGGACCTCAGAGGATACCCACATTCTCCAGTCCCCTCTGTGGAATGGTGTGGGATTTACACAGAACCCACACATGTTCTTCTGTGTGTGCTGGAAACCTTCTCTAAACACCTAGATCATGTAAGTGCTAGGTAAATGGTTGCCATACTGTGTTGTTCAGGGAATAACAGAGAGGGGGAGAAGTCTATACATATAGAGTTTAAGATAGTGGCTGATTGAAGCTATAGATAAGAAATATCTGTAAAAAAGAGGTAGCTCTACTTTGATGTGTACAAAAGCAACAATGCAAAGCTGAAAACTCTGCAGGAGAATGAGAGGAGACCTGCAGGCTGATGAATCTGTCTCATGATCTGGGAGCTGGTTCCACAAGGGCACTCATTTTCTGAATACATTAAACTGTGCTTGCTCCTAAATTAAATTACATTACACATCCAGAAAAGTAAAATCAGCAGAAATTTATTTTTTATTGTGTGCTACCAGAACTATTAGGTTGTTTTCGGAATTAAAACATTTGTCATGCATATAGAATTGGTCACTTCATTTTAACTGTGTGAGCACCTTATGTCAGTCCCCTGAGAGTCAGAAAGAAAACAGATCCTATGCAAACCAACAGACCAATCAAAAAAAGGTGAGTCACCTTTTTCTAAAATCATAACTCTTGATGTTTTTAAATCACAACTCTTCATTTTTGGGCCGTCCTCCACACAGCTTCAGGAAGTAGTTTTTGTTTTCTGTTTCAGGGGAGTTGGGATGAGCAGGGTGCTGAGAATTCAGAGCCGCTCTTTGGGCTGAGGTCTCAGAGATACTGCTCTAAATGTTTGTGTCTGTCCTGATGTGCACAGGGTTTGGGGGCCAGGCCAGGTCATGGTAAAACAGAAAACTTTATTCTCTACACACCTGTCTGAGATGGCTATAGGTATTTTATTCCATTTAAAAGGAGAAACGTATATGCTAATGATTTTGTAAGAATCCAATAATTAAATAATTAACAAATAATAATTATAAATAATACGTTTCTACTATCTCATTTACATGAAATCAGGCTGTTACTGGGACTGTCAGACGGAGGATGCATCTTTCTCCTTTTGGAGGATTTAGAGTCCCCTGAGGAAGTACAGATGTGTCCATGTTAGTGGATGACGTATGTTCATATGCTAGCATCAAATAAATGCTTAGCATAGGAAAAATTAAAAGGAAAGAAAGGAAAAATATTGGGAAAGAAACAGAAAAATATTGCAGAGTTCTTGGCAATCAGGAAAGGCTTTCTGGAGTGAGAATAGGGTAGAGAAATAATTATTTTCCGTCAAGCAAATTTGGTTCTAAATTTGAGGTCTATCACTTGCCAGCTATGAGCATTTACTTAACCTCTTAGAGCTTTCAGATTTTCCCCTGTGAGCAGGAGCTGCTACCTATAACTTCTGGTTTGTGAAGTTGGAAGGGCCTGGTGAGTGGACCAAGCAGGTCCTCTTGTCTGCATTCCTGCTGCTTCCTGTGGAGAGGCTGGAGACTCTTTGGTGCCTGAGGCTGGGCACTGCAGGAGGCAGTGGGAGATGGGGAGCTGCTGAGGCCCAGAGCGTGGGAGCAGAATGGCATATTCAGGGTTTGAAATGCAGAACAAATAACAAAAGTCAGCAATGGTACAGAGCTTTATACTGAAAGCAGTGCAGGCAGCACTTGGGAGACCTGGAATCACAAGCAAAGCTGAGAAAGTTTCTGGGGCTATATGCTGGTTATGGGAAGAGAGCCAGAAATGCAGACCACATAAGCTCTGTGATTTCAGGTTTCCCTGGGAAGAAGAACAGCTACACTCTCCGCAGTTTAGGACCAGGCCAGGACACTCCTGTCTCTTCCTTTGGCCCTGCTGGATCCTTGAGAGGGGAAGATCCTTGGGGGTCCACATGCTCAGGGAAGATAGATCCCGGGCCTGAGAGACAGGCACCCCTTGGATCCACAGGAGGAACTGAGGGTTTAGGCCGGGCAGGTGCCCCATGCAGGTGCATCTGGCAGAAGCATCCTGTCATGGGCTGACTGTTCCTTACCTATACAGCAGGGTGAAACCACTGGGTTTGTTAAGAGGCACTAATGACAGGTGCTGGAGAAGGAAGAAGAGGCAGTTAGGTGAAAGCCCACTCCTCCCAGTTGGGACCTGTAGAACTGTGGTGCAAAATCAGGGCACTCATTTCCAAGAGAGAAAGGGAAAAAAGAAGTTTAGTTACCTGCCTTCACCAAAGTGCAAGCTCCTGAGGTATTTAAGGGAAGTCCACCTGAATAGTTCACAGGCAATGAGACTGCCTTAGAGCTTCATGCTGGAATTCCATTGTCAAAACCATGAATCCCAGCCGGGCATGGTGGTGCACAGCTTCGATCCCAGCTCTCTGGGAGGCTGAGGCAGTAGAATCACCAAGTTTGAGCTTTGCCTCAGCAATTTAGCAGTTTAGCAAGACTGTCTCAAAATTAAAAAATAAAAAAGGACCAAGAAGTAGCTCAGTATGAAGACTCTGGGTTCAAGCCCTTGTATTACAACAGACAAAATGTGGCTCCCTCATCAGGGTGTTTATTCCTACTGAAAAGAGTAAACATCTTGAATTAACCATTTAATCCATGCTCAGTATCAGCTACACTGAGGTTTCTCCCATCAGGTCCTAAGGGCACGTTTTCAAAAGCGGGAGGAGAGAGAAAACCAAGGTAACAATGTCTGCCTCCCGGAGAAAAGGTGCTCTTGGGGAAAAGGAGTCATGGGCGGTGGTAGCATCCTCCTTGGCTGCCCTTTGGTTCCCAAAGTGCTGGATGCCACAGGACTTCCCAGCATTTGCAGCAGCGAAGGACCCCCAGAACCTAAGGGGTAAAGACCCCTAGTTTCCTCAGAAAGGTCGGTCTTCCAATCTTTGCATGTTTTTATTTTGGGTCTCTTTGTGAACGGATTTCCTCCTCAGTCCCCACAGGCTCAGCCACAATGGCAGACTGCGGGCTAGGACCCCAGCTCCCAACAGTTCTCAATGCCTGTCAGTCAATCATCATCACGACTGTACGTTATATTGGTGTCTGGATCCTGGGTCTTGCCAAATTTGGGGTGGCACATGCCTGTAAGGGCACAACTCTGGGAAGCTGAGGCAGGAGGATCATATATTCCAGCCAAGCCTGACCACCTTGACGAATTAGGAAGTCCCCTGTCTCCAAATAAAAAGTAAATGAAGCTCCTTTCTTGGAGAAGGACAAGGGTCTGCTTGTTTAGCGACGGGACACACTCCCTCGGGACAGTCCTCAGGCCCCGGCCGGGCCGCCGCTCTACCTCCAGGGTGGCTCCCCTCCGTGCTCCGCCCACGCTTCCCTTCCCCGGAGCAACAAGTTCTCTTCCTCCGAACCCGCCCGCGCTCCACAAGCCCGCGCCGCGTCTTCTCTCCGACCTCCGCCAAATTCGTCCTCAAACCCAGCTGGGATGGAAATCGCGGCGGTTGCCTACGCCTTCTGCGGGCGGGAGAGCCCGCCGCCAGCGAGTCCGGGAGCCCTCGCAGTGGCTGGGAGGGAAGCAGGAGGCTGGGAGTCGGGATGGGAGCCAGCATCCCGGCTCCCGCGCCCTTCAAGGCAAAAGCAGCATCTGGGAGCAGCCACCGCATCCCGCGCATCTCTGCTGCTAGACCCAGGAGGAAGGGATGGGGCCCGGAAAGTCCCTGGTGTCCATCCAGCCTCCTGGCAGCCAGATGCATCCTTCCGTCCTTCCTGCACCCTCCAGCCAGCTTCATCCTCCCTCCACCCATCCGGCGCCAGGTCCCCTGAGGACGCCAGAGATCTCTCGGACACAACCACGGCCCCGCGCAGCGCTCGCGCTATTTCTCCCCTTGGGTCCCTTGGCGCCTCCAAAGGAGTCCAGAGGCGTCCGACTACCCTAACAGCTGGCCTCTGACAACTTATAGGAGTGGGGATCCCCGAGCTCTCCTGGGAAAGCCAGGCTGGCCGCCCACAGACCGGCAGAGGACACCTCACTTCTTGGGGAATTCCTCTCCAAATCCACCTCTCTCTCTAGTCCCCTCACAGCCGGGAGTTGAGAACTCAGAGCCAACCAGTAGTGCGCTCAGGGCGTGGGCGGTCGCGGGCAGGGGACCCGGGCGTAGAAGTTCTGCCTGGATCTTGGGAGCCAGACCGATACATGTCACAAGCCTCTTAGAGTCTGGAAGCTCTTGTCCCCAGAAAAGCGCGAGGATCAAGTCACCGGGAGGTAGGGAAGCCCCGCAAGGCGCGAGTTCGGGGAACACCGAGGTGAACAGCAGTGTCCACTCCCAGTGTCCTGACGGCGGGAAACGACTCTTTCTCGGGAATGGGGGTGGGGAAGGTGGCTTCACCCCTCCTGCCTTAGGCAGCCCGGAGAACTTGGTACCTCGGACAGCAGCCCGGGCGCATAGCACCCTTTGCAAAGTGTTACACTCTTTTTGCCGCCACCAAGTCAAAGAGCATTAAATGATTTTGATGACCTTACTAGTGCAGACGAAGGACATTTTAATTACATAACCCGTGAAAGATCACCGGAGGCAGCGTCGTGTGTAAGCGCCGATGGCAGAATATCTGCATCGCAGGGAAAAGAAAACTTGCAAATCTGCAGGGAGATTGCGCAGGGATGCTGCCCTTCGCCTGGAAGCGACATGCGAAATGCACAGGAGAGCTTACCTTCCGGACTCCGAAGCCGTGCTCCGCGGCAACTTGGCGAGCCTCGTCCTCTCCCCCTTTATGCAACTCCACGAGGAAATGGTTCGTGAAGACCGGTCCCTCGGACGATGCAGAAACCATGACACATAAGAGGAGCCCGGCGGCCGCCGGCCACTGCGAGCCACAGCCCCCCTTCATCCTTCTCGGAGTGGGAAGTGGGACTGGAGGCGCGCAGCTGGCTGGACAGGGCACCCGGAGGGAGGGTGCCAATTAAAAATAGGTATGGAGTTTGGGGGCTTTGTTATTATTATTATTATTTATATAAAATATCTTTGTATGCGAAGCGGGACTCAGCAGGCTTTGGAGAGCAGCCGATCAGAGCGCGTCCGCCGCCGGCATCTGGCTGGCGGGGAAGCCGAGCAGCTCAGCGGCCCGACTCGCGGGGCGCGATTGGGGCGCTGTGTGCACTGGAGAGCGACCGCGAGAGCGAGTGGCTGGATGTCGGTGTTGATGCTAAATCTGCATTTTCGGCTCCTCCTCGGCTCCAGTTCCGAGGGGGCCGGAGGCGAGCGCCAGCCCGGGTGACGCGCGCTCGCCGGCGGCCAATGGGGTCCGAGCCGCCGCCGCCCCGCCCCGGGCCGCCCCCGCCCCGCCCGCCCCGCCCGCCCGCGCCGCTCGGGACCCGCGCCCCGCCCCCGCCCCCGCTTGCCGCGCGCGTCCCGGAGAGTCCCGCGGCCGGCGCCGGTGATGTCATTGTTTGTGGGAATCTGCGGGCTCGGGAAAGGGAATTACGGTGGAGCCGCTCTCGGAGGCCCCCGGGGAGCCGGGCCAGGCCTCTCCCATTCCTCCTCCTGGCTGCAAACCTCTCGCTCTCTCTTCCTCATTCGTGGCAATAACAAAGCAGTATTAACCCTCCTCCTGCCACTTTACCGAGCCCCAGGGAAGATTGCTTTGCTCCCCTTCTGGCCCGGGAGGCTTGGGAAAGCCACCCATTGAGGGCGACTCCCGGGGGCTAGGTGCAGGAACCACTTTTAAAAAAAGGCTCCACGCAGGTCAGGAACTGAACAGCTGGAAAGCCAGCTAGGGTCCAGCCTCGTCCCCATCAGCTACCGCGACGCGTTCGGAGGAGGAGGCGCAGTTCCAGACGCGGGGACACGGGGCTGCGTGGGGACAGCCAGGGCGCAAGTGTGGGGAGGGGTCGCTCCCGGTGCCGGCGTGGGGGTCACGACTCGGGAACGGCCTCACGGGGGGCGCGTCCCCGCCGAAGGGCAGGGTGTCAGCTAAGTCAGCGGGTTCCGAGAGGAGTACTCCTACGTGACTGCGTGCTGCTGACCACTCACTGCTCCTTTTGCCCAAGTGGAAGAGCCAGCCGAGCTCTGCTGCAGAGAAATGAGCGATTGTTTTGGAGAAACTTAAATATTGTTGAGCTGCAGAGTGTTTACACTGGCCTGGCTCCTCAGGTAGTACCAAAGCAAAATCCTGGCTTAGTTGGATGAGAGGTAAGAGACTTATGCGTACGTGTGTGTGTGTGTGTGTGTGTGTGTGTGTGTGTGTGTGTGTGCGCGCGCGCATGCGTGTGCGTGCCTGTGTGTGGTGGTGTTTCACATTTCATTTTAAAACGAAGTCACACGAAAAACACCCTAGGTAGAAAAGAGCAAGCACTCTTCATGCCGTGGGCAACCTGCCTTCAGAGACCTGGTTGTTGGTGCCTTTTCAAGCATTGCCAAATAAAAAACGTAGGCATTGCTGGAGGTTTTGGTTAAAATGTACGAAACTTGTATGTTATGATTACCATTATTACTCAAACTTCTAAAAACAATGAAAAAAAAAACCCTCAGCAAAACAAAGCAACAACAAAAACCAAACTAAGAAGGTGTTAGGAAATGGGGTAAAGATGAAAGGGAATTGGGTTTTTGGAGAAGTACCAATAAAAGTGAACAGACTAACTTGGGGTGCTTCAGCTTGTTACTGTGTGGCAGCTCATTCCTGCCAAGGTTTTCTTTATTTTGTCCCTAATTTCGCCCACTACCTTGACCCTCCTTTCCTGTGCTTGACTGTAGCACAAGATTTTCCTATCAGGGAACTTCAGCCCCTGTACTATCTCCTTTGCTTGTATTTCATCTGTATTTTGAATCAAGGCACCAGGTTGATATGCAGCTACACCAGCCACATTGTTCTTCCGGCCTGTATTGTCATTTGAGAAAAATAGGATCAAATGTAAAAATTACATTAGATAGAGTCCCAGTCGTGGAGTGCATTTCAAAAGCAGCAACAGAGGTAAAAACTTAGTCTTTAGAAAAATAGACCTGAGGAACACCAAACAAGTCAATTTAGAAGATTACGTGTGTCAGGAAATAGCACTGCTAATACAGCTAAATCTCTCTGAAAATGAACATGAAATTACCATCTATTTAGAGATATTTATTAATTTTTTCTGAAACCACAATACTTCATTTCCTAAATAAATTTCAGTGATGAAATCTGAGTGCATGCTGAATCTTGTCACGATTTGAATACGACTTGTCTTCTATGAAACCCAGGGTGAAATTTTTCAGCAGCACTATGGCGGTGTTGGGGGCCGGGCCCTTTGAGAGGGGTCTGGAGTCTGAGGGTTCTGCTCTTCAGGAAAGGCTTAATCCATTCATGGTTTGGTGAGTTACCATAGGAGTGCCTTCAGTTTAAAAATGGGCTCTTTCTGGATAGCTTAGGGAGTCTCACCATCTGATGCCCTACCACCACCTTGTGATGCAGCAGGAAGCTCTCTAGATGCCAATGTAATGCTTGTAAACTTCCCAACACTCAGAGCTGGGAACTAAATAAACTTGTCCTTTACAAGCTACTTGGCCTCAGGTATTTTGTTATAGCAACAGACAAGAGATGAAGACATATATCTACATTTTAAATAAAGTCATGTCAGGTTGGGTACAAACTAAAGAAAACCTGGATGACTGAGTAAAATGTTATTCTTAGTGGTTTACACAGAAGACAGCTTATCATAATATTGTCATAACAGCAGAGCAAATGAAAAGAGTTTTTGTGATATAAATGCTAAATTTTTAGCACACAACAAAGTAGTATGCCAGTGGAGGAAATGTATTCATACATTGGATTGATATTTGAAATGCAAATACGCATCCATGCATGCCTGCATGCATATTGCTCTTTTAGATGGCTATTTCTCAGCTCCTTTTTTTTTTTTTTTTTTTTTTGTCTTTTTGAGACAGGGTCTCGCTGTGCAGTTCAGGCTGGTCTTGGGCTCACTTTGTATCCTAGGCTGGTCTTGAGCTCACAACGATCCTCCTGCCTCAGCCTCCTGAGTGCTGGGATTACAGGCGTGAGCCACCATGCCTGGCTCTCAGCTCCTTTTTAAAATACTAGTCAGGATTTGGGAGAAAGGAGATGAGCAGGAAGGAGAATGATGGCAGTATGTTTTGACGACCCAGGAGCCAGTTGCCAGGAACTCTGCTGCAGCCCGTGGTCTCGCTGGCTATGTGTGTCACCTGGCTGAATCCTCGCTCCTTTCAAAGCCTGTGTCTTTTCATCTGTAGAGGGACAGTTGGATTGGATTATCCTTCACCATCCAAAACGTGCAATTTCAAAAGATACTGTAGCACAAACTATGAAGGAAAGAACATCCTCAGTAGTAGCTTGGCAAATGTAGAGAAAGTTCATGCTTTTTAATATTTGAATAGCCAACAGATTGTTTTTGCAAACTTCCTTCAAACCTTCTTGTATTTACTAATTTTATAGACTCAAGGGGAATAAAACCTGATGTAAACAGATTGAGACTTGGTAGCAGACATGGAAATCATCAACATCTTGGGACTCATTCAGTTTATTTACCGCCGTATCCATAGCAATAACATGGGGTGTTTGGTTATGGTGAAGATCAGATGCCCACCATCTCTAAAGACCTTGTCTTACAGAGTTCAGAATTTCATGGATTCATTACTTCCCATCAATAGTTCTATGGGTGATTATACAGCCCACATCACAGGAGAAGTGAATGGGACTTTCTCTTTCAGATCTACTTCTAGAGGGAAGACTTTGTATCCATAGAGCTTCCAGTCAGAGCTAACTTAACATGAGGTAGGGCACAAAGTAGCACTGGGGGAGATTAGTGGACCTTTGAATATTCTTCAGCCTACTAGAGAAAACTGATTTTTCTGTTCATTGTCTTACACTGGATGTGTGCAGCTAAAGGTCATGATTTAAAGGACAGCCTGGTTAGAAACTAGACTGTGCTTGGAATTTCTGGGGCACCTGTTCTTAGCCCTCCCTGAGCAGTGAGGTTCCCTTTACTGGCAGCAGTCCTGTGCTATCATATGGGACCACCAGGTCTTAAAGAGGGTTCTTTACATGACTCCCCCTGCCCCTGACCTCTGTTCAAGTCCATCCTCAAGATTCATGAAACTGCTACCACTGTGGGTTTCTGCCATTTTTTAAAAAAATCTCAACATTGTTTTTTTTTCCTCAAAATTTTTTTCTGTGATATTTATATACACTCTTGCAATTGTTGTTACTGAAGATTCAGGCACTTGAAACAGTTTAATTCATTCCTTTATATGCACCCATACCTCCCCAATCACTGGGACTCTGTTGGTCCTACCCCCAGTTCCCTTGCCAGCTTATATGGTTTTCTTAAGTGACCTGTCTCTGTTTTGCTTTCAGTTAAATTTTTTTTTCAGCAAACTTGCCTCTAAACCATCTTAAATTCATGTAGTAGGGAGAATTCATGGGGCTTCTTCAATTGTTTTCTTATTATTACATTGTCAAAACTAGAATGCTTTGGGTTATATGCATTTTACAAGTTCATTAAGCCATCAGATTTATTCAGACTAATCAATTCTTCATAAACAAAAGCTATTCCTTTCTTGCTTTCTTATTTTCTAGGACAGTAAAAATTTATTTCTTGGGCTTATTTAGGCTCTATTATTTTGATAGGACTTGAAGTAGCTAAACCATGAGGACCAAGGGCCCTTTTGAATGTTACTTTGAAAATTAGAAGCACATTGCTATTCACTATCTTTAGACTCTTCCCGAGGTCTACAGGACTACAAAATAATGTTTGCCCATTTGGAAAATTAATTAGTTATTTCTCAAGGCTTATTGTCTGAGGAAAGTTATTACCTATTCATGAATTCCCTACCTTGTGTTATTTCCTTTTTATTTTTCATGATCTTTAAAAAACACAGTAAATCTTCCTCAATTTACTTTTTGAAGGATTATGGAAATTATCTTTAATAGGAAGACTGTTTTGTACTTCTAAAATTGCCTATAATGTGGAAACACCTTAGAGAAAACAAATGTGTGGCTTGTTAGCAAATATAAACTGAGATTTACAAAGACAAAAATTTTGTGCATAAAATGGAGGTTCAAATGTTAGAAGATAGATAATAGTTTTGTAATTGTAATAAAACATAAGATTCTAGGACAGATTATCCTGTGACCTGAATGCAATGGAATGCACGCTATTTAACATCTGTTCAGATGACCTACCCAAAGTAGAGAAATGATGTGTGCTATGGCTTGTTTCTAGACCTCTCTCACTGCCACAACACCATGTACTCATACATGAGGATTTTCTGAGCTGACTGGATCCGCGGTACTGAGCTAAGGGTGTGCCTACTAAATTACTCTACTGCATAGTCCTGGTGGCAGACTGGATTGGATAAAAGGGAGAGACAGGCTTGCTTATGCAGTTGCCGCTTTGCCGGCTCCTGCCTACCCTGCCATGGGCTGTCTCTCCTCTGGATGACCTTCTGCCATGCTGCCCTTCTGTGGAATCAGCTGACTATGGACTGAAACCTGTACAAGATGGGAGCTGAAACAAACTTTTCCTCTTTTAACTTTGGTGTCTGGTATTTGGTCCTAGCAATGAAAGAAAGTAAGACAATGTGTCATGTTATTTAATGTCCTAGAAGACCAGTTATAAAGTTATGGTTGTATTCTCAGATACATGACTTTTTTTCTTTGAAGATTTCAGTTCTTTCATGGTTCGAAGAAACATGGCATAGTTTATTTTTAAGAAAATCATCATGCAGTATCTATTTTGTCTTATGGTCCTGCAATATCTATTTTATCTTCTTGTGATCATTGAGAGAGGAAATAAAAAAAAATCCATTCATACAAACAGGTGTGTCTAGAATTGACCATGTGACACAGTCTTAATGGATTTGTAGATTTATTTTCTCTTTTAAAATTCTATTTGTATAGAAGCTAATCAAAGTATATTTAATTTCTAGCAATATAGTCCACTCTGCATTAGTTTGTGTCAGAGGTTACATACTAGTGGCATCTAGCTGGAAGCCATGTTTTATACAGATGGAAATGATAATAAAATGGCCTCAGACCTCTAAAACTGACCCTTTCCCATAAAAATTTAAGAATGTGGCTACTTTTGCAGTAACTGAAGATTTGGCAACAGGGTTGAGATTAGCTGGAATTGGTGCCTGTCATTCTCCCACCCAGTATAATTGCATCTGAGTGGCCCCATTTGCAGAATTCCCTCACAGCCTCCTGATTCACAGGCTTTGCATGCCTGATCTGGCCCCTAAAGTGACCTGAATTTGTGACTTCTGGTTTCAATGTCTATGGAGGTCTTAATTCATTTTGCCTAGAGGCTTTTTATAACATCTTTAATAGAACATATTCACATAACAAAATTAAAAGTGTGTTCTCTAAATGATTAGCATAGTTGCAAAAAAAAAGTTAAACTCAGGCATCCAGAAAACAGACTTTGGGGAAAGGTGCTCTGTCCATATCTGATAGCTCGGAGTAGACACATTGGCAGTACCTCTCTCCTTGGGTAGTGAAAACCATTTCAGATGTCCAGCATGGTTAATTTTTATACTCTGTCCTTTGCTGTTAGGTGATCATTAGACAATTCCGGGAAGAGATAAAATCAGGGTTACCAATCTGAGCAGAATGAGAGGTTCAGGCAGAGTATGCATCAGTCTACAAACACCTGAGAGGTGAGGGTGGTAGCGTAGGGACACTGTGGGGCTGCAAGTGAAGGCTCCTTTGTTTTGATTTTGGCTGTGTCTTTTTTTCATGTAACTGACACAAGTCCCTTCACTTTCTTAATCTCTATGTGAATTGGAGATGGAGATTGTGTCTAAGATCACATTTAGGGATAATATGCAGTGATCGTACGTAGATCAAGCCCTTATTTCTCTCATATACCTTATATCTCTTTGAGTGTACTTGTTGAATAAGTGGTGCATTAGTACACAAGCACAGAAATGTGGTTTTGCAGAGTGTAGTGTTCAGCTATTGCCACTGTAAAGTTGTGTAGAACATCACTCTATACTTATGGCTTACTACAACTGCATTATTCTTGCAATCCAGTTTCCTATGGTGTGGCTGATCTTAGCTGGGCTTACTGAATGGTGTCTTTATTTCAGGCTGCAGGTTGGGTCCATTTGGTTCCAGCCCATGTTTGGCTTAGGTCTGCTCCACATGTAGTGATTCTGAAGCCCTGGACCAAGTGACAATGGCTACCCAAGGCAAGATGTTCATACAGATTTTTCTTGGAGCTCAAAATTCAAACCAGGCTTTGTAAAAGTCCTCAAGGACTCTGAGGTTTAATATTCTATTGGGTGAAGCAAGACATATGATCAAGACTAATGCAATTCATATTGAGAGGTGGAGGGAAGAGAATATTTTCTCAATAGTAACCTGAACTTCAATAGCAAACAAGGTCCTGCATGCAAAGACATGTTAATAAAGAGATTATTAACTCAAAGAGTTAATTTAAAAATAGTATCTGTAATGCATTTGGAGAGTAGTATCCTAAAATGTTGAGAGTGAAGATTTTAATAATATCATATCCTTGTGGGAGAATGAGTCACTCCCCTCTTAGAGGACGGGGGGGTTAGTGTGGGCGTCCTCTTGGGCATTTTCCTCAGAGAAGCATTGCAGGGGGCTGGATCTGATTTGAATGACAATGTGAAATGTGGATACAAGACACTGGATATAAGACTAGCTTGCTTCAGAACAGATCAGCTTAGATGCAATGATGATAAAATGCAGGAAGCCTAGAGTTTAGAATAAAGGGCCCGGGGATGTGGCTTAGCAGGCATAGTGCCTGCCCGGCAAGCATGAGGTCATGATTTGATTTCTGCTACCCCTAGCCTGCCTCCCCCCATCAAAAAAAGGAATTTAAACGAGTAGTTAAAGAAGTATAATTATATGACCTTACATTTTGGGGAATATTCCAATTTGTAATTTCCCACTTGTATTTACCAAGGTTCTTTCTTCTAGCTATAAGTGATAATATTGTTACACCAATTGGCTTAAACAACAAGGTAAAGTGTTTTTTTTATCCTTCAGGAATCCAGAGGTAGATACAGAATCAGGTATGGCTAGATCTGGAGATTTTATCATCTTGGCTTTTAGGATCTATTGTCCTCTTTTGGCAATCTTCAGAAGAAAGAGTTTTCTTCTCAATAATTTTCATGAAATTTTGGAATAGTAGTCCATTCTATTGGCTTGTTAAATATGACTTAGCCTTCCTTAATACAGGATACAGGGATTAGATTCACCAGTTGGCCAGGTCTGTGTGCTGTGCCTTTTCCTGGAGGCTTTAACTTGACCTAAACCACGTGGACTGAGACTGGAGAAGTTTTATTGTACAAGAGGAGGCCAGGGGGCACTTCCTTGGAGGAGAACAAGGCTCTTAGATAAAATAACAGATGTCTGTTAAATTACTGTTCATCCAAGTGGGAGAATCCATTAGGGTACAAAACAACTTGTGATGTAGAACTTCACTAAAAGGCACAGACTGAAAGGTTGAATCCTATGAGTGGTATTATACTAAAACATCTCCAAACACCGGGTAGTAGCTGCCATTCAATACATCAGTTATTTGCAGATATTAAGAAAGATCGTCCCGTGGTATGGACCCAGCAGCAAAGAACTCTTAGCCCATGGTATCAATGTGTCTCTAGTGACTTGACGATGGAGAGTTTAATCAGCTGGCTAGAGCATGGGGGTGGCCAGACCAAATCATAGGTTCAGTCTTTGGGAGGGGAAGCCTGTTAGTCGTTTTGCTATGCAGCAGTATGTAAATGCCAGGATTCCATTGAGGAGATAAATCTTTAAGGAGACATATATGGATGGTTGCTGGAATTTGTCTTCACATTTCTCTCACTGGCAGAGAAAGGAGGACTCTTGTTCTTAGTTCCACATGAGATGGCAAAATCATCTCAGCTGTCACCACTGCCCACAGTACTTTCTGTATAATTACATTGTTTCTTCAAGGTGCCCTTATTATTTCTCCTCTCATCGTCCCCAGGAGACGTGCACTGGGAGGAGCTGGCAGGTTTTCTTGGCAAGAACAGATGAATAAATAAGGAGCATGAGCTTGCGTCTTGCAGTCGAAGTGCTTTGTCAGAAACCACAGCAGTGTGGCTATTTGTGGACTTTAAGGGCCATGCTCAGCCTCAGTCAGAGGAAACTTTAAAAACTAAATCATTGCATGGGGTTGAGGAAAAGGCTTTAGTAGAACATGAAGTTGATTGTGCTCATATGACTGAACATTCTGGTCTGGTGGCATTTCATTTGTTATGTTAAAGTATTAGACAATGATAAACCATCTACTTACTTATCAGGTGGTGAGTGGTATTGAATGAGGAGTCTCATGATGAATAATTGGTCTTAATACTTTAGGGAAGACAAAGAACCAGAGTAAGAAACCAGGCATTGAATATGGATAAGTTGGGTTCTACAATACTACCCAAGTTCACAAGGCCTTGGTAATTTTTCAGTATTATCATGTAAATCCCAATAATGCATGTTGTCTACATCTGGTTATTTCTGCCTTCCCTTTAGATCCCTCTCCCTCCTCTGCTCTATGTTGGGCCTGGAGATTGACTTTTATTCACTATATTGGTGATGCTTGTTTTATGGCTTCCCTTAAATTCAGGCATCAGGGCGCTATTTAAAACAGAACTGGAGAGCAGAGCAAGAGGGTAAGTTCTGGTTTTGATTCTCCCATCCCTTCCTGGTGGCTCAGCAATACGGTCTTCATTCCTTTGCTGTCACTTCTGTCAGAGAGCCATTCCAGATCCCATTAAACACCCTCTTCCCTGTTTCTTTAGGGCTAACAGTGTAATGGGCTCAGGGCATTGCTAGTCCCAGGGGTTTCTCTCTGCTTCATTGGGCTTTCCTGATCCTCTGATGCGTTTGAAAGCAGTCCCTTAATAAGCTTTTCTCAATAACTCCATCTGTGTCTACCGCTTCTTTCTTGCCAACACACTGGGTGGCAACTTACCTCTGTAAGACGTGATACACACTATACATTGCCAGGATGTGGCATACAAGTGCATCAGCTTTTGCTTTCATTTTTAAATCCAGAAATTGTGTTGAAGAGACCCAGAACAAACCTCAGCCTTTTGGGAAGTGGCCTGTTCAGCACAGCAGTCGCCATAAACAAAATAATATAGCACAATGGGGCATGGGCACAAGGGGGGAAATATGAAGAGAAAAAAACCCCCAAAAGCATGTGAAGAGGTTTAAGGGAAAAAATGAGAATATCAAAAATTTTAGGAAAAATCCCCAGGACCAAAAAAATCAAAATTCAAATTGTGAAAAAACAAGATACCCAAATTTCTGAGAGTTAGAAACTTAAAGCAAAAGCAAAGAGGGAGGAATAGAGGTGAAAGAGAAGGAAGGGAAAGGGAAGGGGGGCCAACGAAAAAAGTGCGTGGGGGAAGGAGAGGCTTGAGGGATTTTGGAAGCAGTTTCCAGTCGGGCCTGATTGCCGTCTGAGCCACCAGCCAGGGTGGGCTCTGTCCATGGTGCTGACCGGATCTACCCCTTTCCCTTTGCAGATCAGCTGACGGGAAAGAATTCTTTTACACTTCTCTGGAAATTACTTTATACTAAAGGCGTTGTCCACAAGAGCGAAACGTTCCAGGCTAAAGGAAGGGAAGCACATCATTTGTCTTCTAGCTATTACATGATTGATATCAGCATCGCTGCCACGGCAACTGAGCTGAACGCATCGTCAGGCAAAACAATTTAACACGAAGGGAGGCACAAACGTGAGAACTTGGAGAAGCCATTTCTAAATACAAGGCCAGGGTACAAATAACTCTTCTAAGTCCACAAGACGGGCAGACTCTAAATTTCTATATGTAAGTACGAGACTGACATTTTTCTATTTCTTCTATAACTCTATCCAAAAATAGGTTCAGGGCATCAGGCTTAGGCTTCAGACTCATTTGTAAGGTGCTTTTCCCCTACAGCTTTCTCTTAGAAGTTTGACTTATTAGATGTTTTTTGACTCATGAACAAAATAAATCAAAATGAATTTATTAATTTTTCTGAAACCATGATGCTGAAGAGTTCTTGGTACCTTTGCTGAGAGTCTATTTTATGATTTTGATCATAATTTTTGAACAGAATAGTGTTATGGAGGATGAAAAACAAGTGCTACAGTTCTTCCTTACTCTGCAACAAAATAGATCATTGGCATTTTGAGCCCATTAGCAACATAAGGGACAATGTTTTCACAGTTAGAACAACATCCTTTCTCCTCATCAGAGCCTGATAAGGAAAAGTCTTAAAATTTTTTTTCAGTTAGACATGAGGACTGAGGCAAGAAATGTATTCTATGGTTTGGGAAATGCGATTAATTGCAATGTATTATGTTCTTGAAAAACTGTGAAGAGTGGACTTTAAGCGTTTTCAACACAAAAAATAATAAGTAATGTACGTGTCAATTTCTTCAGCTATTCCACAGTGGATGTATATTTACAATAACGTGTGCATAACAAATCTAAATTTTTATTTGTCATTTAAAAATAAATAAATATAGAGACTCTGATTGTTTGTCAGCATTAAGAACACTGTGTAAACAGAGACTTCTTCCAGTGGATGGGTGGGTAGGTACAGAGTCTCGAAACAAAGACTGGCAGTTGGACTGAGTTTATGTGACTTTGAAGGAGGAATCCTTTCAGTACTTAACCCTCTCCCAGAACACAAGTACGAGTCCTGATGACAAGCATGGCAGGGACATGGTATATAGTAGCTTCAAGAAAGCACGTGTATCTGCTTATCTTACTGTTCCATGATCCTTGCAGGAGGTTATGGTTCAGATCTAAAATGACCCCCAAGAAGACCTATATGTCCAGAAGTGGGGTTTTGGAAGCTGACTGGGTCATGAAGGCTTTAATTTCATTAGTGGCTAAATCAATTGATTGATTCAATTTAATGGCCTCTTGAGGTAGTAGAAACTTGGGGACCAGAGCCACTTTGAAGGGAGTGAGTTGTGGGGAGTGGCTTTGGGGACAATATTTTGTATTCTAACTCCTCGTACTCTTTTCCCTCCCTTCTTTCTTTCTCTTGCCTGGCTGCTACGAGGTAGGTAATTTTTCTCAACCAATTTGCCTGTCAACAGGATGTTTGTGCCTTGCCACAGGCCTAAGAGCAATGGAGTCAGCTGACCACGGATTGAAACTTCTTAAACTGTGAGCCAAAATAAACCTCTCCTCCTCTCAGTTGTCATTCACTTATATTTTTGTCATGATGATAGCAGCTGACATACAGGGTAAACAAGGGTGTGTGTGTGTGTGTGTGTGTGTGTGTGTGTGTGTGTGTGTGTTTAGCTGCATAAAGCAGAAAGTGCTGTGATGGCTGGATCCAGAGCAGCAATCTTAGAGCATGACATTTCTTGGGAATGGAGCTGTTTTACAGCTTGCACTCTAGAGGTACAAGGTAAGAGCCTGTCTTGACTGATAGAGTTGACCCAGATGTTAATGCTGCTCTAACACCTTGCCTCCTGCATCTGCTTTGTGTGAGGCACTTTGAAATGCTGGGGGTTTATTAAATACTGTTGGAGGAGACCAGGAAAGTACAAGGGTGAAATGGAATCACAGAGGTCAAACTTTAAGACCTAAATTGGTGCTCATTAACTCTGACTAAGAGAAAACTTTTAAACATGCAGCCTCTGCTCATTCCTCTGTTAAACCTTTAAGTATAATGAGAATTAAATGAGATAGAGCATATACAGTGCTTTGTATATAAACCCACAGTAAAATTATTGTATGATCAGGAGCATAATTATTAATTACTAAGTAGAAGAGTCAGGGCTTCAGCCCCTCTGGGTGCTACTGCTTGCTGAGTAGAGGTTCAAATGGGACAGTTGTGACTTCTTGGGGTCTCAGCTGATCTTGAACTCAGCCAGACCCACTAAGGCTCTGGAATGTTGTTCCAAAGCAGCTTAAGGCTTTGATTAGGTCAAATATTAAAGCAAGTGATTGTTTGGGGCTTCTCTGCTGCAACCTGAAATTTTACCTGAAAATTAGAGTGAAGTAATTTGGTCAGAGAGTGATCTAACTGTTGATCACCACAACAGAGGCAGAAACACTATAGGCAGCTTCCTGAAACTGTCCATACGAGCAAGAATGAAGGTACTCTTGGTTTCTTTCCCTGGTTTGGGCTGTTTTCTGGGGTGGGTTGCAACCCTGTGTAATTTTTGTTCAGAGAACCTCCAACTAAATTGGCACTACACTAACCAGAATAACCTTGCAATGTGTGGGCCAAAAGAGAACTTTTGAATAGAATGGTAGCCATTATATCCTCAAGGTCATGGAGGTCAGATGCAGGAAGAGACAGGGTCACAGATGGGATCTGGGGTGTCCCCAAGCCCTGCCAGGTGTCCCTGTCCAGGTGTTCAATGAGTCTGGCTTCTGAGTGTCCCCACGCTCCCCTATGCCCACCTATGCTCTTTTCTCAGTGTCTGGGGTCTATGCTGCCCTGGTCCCCTGCTCTGGACCCTTTCTTCCCCAGCACCTCCAATGGCTCTGCAGAGTCAAATTCCTGTGATAAAGTTTTTATCCTGCAGTGCTTTCCCGATTCTGCCCTGGCATCCTGCCCCATTTCTGTCAGGCATTGTTCTTAGACCATGTCAGCTCAATCCCTGGGACTGCTAGCACTGAAGTGAGTTTTGATGGAAAGCTGTCAGTTCCTATCTAAGTTCCTTATTAAAGCATTCAGGTGAAAACCCGATGTGCATTTTTAAAGTAAGATGTTTGCTGGGAGATCTGCCTATCATCACACAGTGTTAGCTTTAGATGGTTTTGCATGAGAGCTGTCTTCTTAGCCATTGCCAGGTTAGACTGCATTTCTTCTGAAGCATTGGTGTATTTCTTCATTTTTGGGCAAAGCTTTGATTTTCACTTTTGCCCTGGCTTCCAGGAGGCTCAGAGTCATATACAATGCCCAAATACAATAATTTTTTAGCTCTCTATATGTTCATTTATTTCTCTCTTCCATGTATTTAAGCAATTCCATTTTAATATTAATGGAGCATACTTACCTTTTGGTATAACTGTGTCAAATTAGAAATGGTTGGGATGGGACAAGAGACAGACAAGATGCATTTTTCAGTGCCCTACCTAGTGTCTGTCACCTGGGGTAGATCCTGGACTTACTTTTTTTCTCTAGCACTCTTATCCCATTTCACATGCAGCAAACTGAGGCCCAGTGACATGAAGGAATGTGAACTGCTCAGAGACTGAGCCTGATGAATTTGCCCTGCCTCCTACCCATTCTCCGTTACCTGAAGCTGTCTTTCTGGCTGGAAGATTCAGATACAGACATGCTGGGATGGTGAGATGAACATCTCTGTCCCTCTCAACCTGACTTTGGAGTTAACAACCTGACACAGATCCCTTTCTCACCTAGAAGAGTTCGTGAATGTCGCTGAACCGGAAGGAGGTGTGTGATGAAGTGAAAGGTGGCGGGGGAAATAATGGAGATGCTGGTGGTGACAAGGGTGATGACTGATGTATCATTTTAGTGTAAAGGAAGATGGAGATGAGATTGAACCATTGTTCTCTCTTCCCTCATTACAGTTTCAAAAGGCCCGTCCCGTGGGAACTGACACCTTCCTGTGCAGATTTTATTACTGGATAGGCTCAATCTCCTGATTTCAATAATCATAAAATATCTGAAATGGTTAGCTGAATGTATGTTTGATTGCGTGCTCCCCAGGTCTGAGCCCAGGCTCTTGGCTGTGATGGTATGCCTTACTCTTTCTCTCCTTGGCTATAGCACAGGACAGGTCTGAGACAGGCACATACGGATTCATATCTGGAAGCCATAACTTCTTAGCAATGTGACCAGAGCTAGTTTCTTAGTCTTTTTAAGCCTCAATTTCTCTTAGAGTTCTTTTAAGTGCCAAGTGACAGAATTCTCTTGAATCCAGCATTTATTTATTTGTTGAGCACCCGTAAGCTAGGCACTCTGAATTAAGCACCTAGGGGCAGGAAATTATACCACCATTCAGGAGCTGTGCTCAGGGAGACAACATAAAGCTGCGCAAAATGCTTGCTAATTGGAATACATTTTCTTGCAGCTGGCCCTCAGGCATTCCAACTTCTCTGAAAAAGACAAGAAAAACTGTTATTGAAGAAATGCTTCTTTTTGCTCTTCACTTTCCCCCTGCACCCTAGTGCACCTCTTTCTCACAGAGTTTTCTTTACTGCACTTCTTTCAAAGGGAATGTTAATGCTTTCGCAAATCAACCATCCATTGTTCCATAGTTACCTTTGCGAATCATCCATGTGCCCCCCACAAGCCTCCCTGGAGACCTGGAATCAGAATATTCAGTGGGAGAGCGGCAGACGGATGCTACTCCACATCCTTCCATTGGTACCATCTGGACAACAGCATCCTGACCGAGACTTCTTGTTACAAGGATGAGCATGGAAGACAGTTCCTCGAAGGGAGAGGTTGCGTGCTGGCTCTGGGCAAGAGGGAGACAGTAGTTCCAGGAGACAGATTGTGACTTCTTTTTTCCCTCTTCTTTTGAGTTTGATGGCAATAAAGCATATAACATGGGATCACCCAGCCTGATCATGGTCTCAGGTTGCTAAATAATCTCCAGGATTTATGAAGGAGGCACACATGTCCAATGAAGAGGGGTCACTGAGCAAAGAAGGCAATCACTCATGGTAACTGAATTCTACCTCTATCTGTAATCATGGAAGCATTGCAGAGGAGGTGTGATGGGTGATACACTGTATCAACTTGAGTTTAGAGGTTTAACCAAGGGACTCAGCTGGGAGCCAGGGTCCTTACTTTGTAAACAGCCTCATCCTGTGCAAGAAGAGGGCACAGAGACTGAGTGCTACACACCCACCCTGACGGGAGAGGTGGCCTGTGTACAGTATAAAGGAGGAGGGGTTTGGTTTTGTTGCTTTTTCTGTCTTCTGCTGCCTTGAACTGTTGCCCCTGTCTCCTGCCACCCTGCCTTGGAGCCAGCTGATTATGGACTGAAACCTCCACAAACTGTGAGCCAAATAAACCTTTCCTTCCTTCATTTTAGGTGTCAGGTATTTTGTCCCAGCAACAATAGAAAAGTAACCAAGATAGCAGAAGAGGGTAAACGAAAGAGAAGGGCTTAAACGAGTCTGCCATCTGAGGCTTCTGGTTTCCTGCTTTGTTGGCCGACACTGAGAGGCAGAAAGGAGACCTGGTTGCTTTGAAGGTGTGCATCCTTCAGTTACAGTTTAAATCAAGGTTAAGTGCTTTTTAAATTTTATTTTATTTTTTATTTTTTGGTCTTTTTGAGACAGGGTCTCGCTATGCAGTTCAGGCTGGTCCTCAATTCACTTTGTATCCCAGGCTGGTTTCAAACTCACAGCAATCCTTCTGCTTCAAGCCTGGCTTTTTTTTTAAGAACAGATTTTTTTCTATACCATGTTTTGTAACCACTTATTTCTTCAACTATGGAAACTGCTTCCTGTTGTGGGGAAGAATTCTCATGGTAAAGTTTGAAGACTTAGGAAAGTCATTCTTACCCTCCTTTCCCCTGGGCAATTCCCATCCCACCCAACTCCCACCCCACCCTGCCTCTGCTGTTTCCTGTGGGTGTGTGGTCTGTGATAGGATTTTTACACTTGGAAGGGAACCAGCTGACAGGATTTTGGCGCGGCTGGAACGATAAGTATGAAACTAAAATGGACCTTTATTTTAAGAATGTGGGGAGAGACCCCCTGACCCTCTGGGGTCTGGCATTCTCTCCAACAGACACGTGGTGTGGGGGCATACATGTAGCTTAGGTTTGGGGTGGTGCCTAAGGGGCATTAGTGATGCATATGTAGCCCATTGGTATTTATTTTGCACCACAGGTAAATTCCTAGCAGTGGGGACTATAGAGCCCCTTGGTTCCACCTCCAAGGCTTTACCTGCTACAGTGTCTGGGGCAAAAACCTTTCAGTCTGGGCCACAAGAGCGCTCCTATTAGGTGCCGTGGAGCGAAAGGGAAATCTTAGCTATGCCTTCAGAGGGGGCCACGCCCAAGATCTGGGGTTGATTGACAAGTGGGAAAATATTTTAGCCTAAGTAGCATGCTGGGATTTGGGGCAGAGTAGAAAGTGATATGTGGGTAAGTGCAAAATGAAATCAATACTCATATTTTTTCATTGTTTTATTTTTTTAATGAGACAAAGTTTTGCTAAGTTCCCAGGCTGGCCTTGAACTTGCAGTCCTCCAGCCTCAGTCTCGCAAGTAGGTGGGATTGCAGGTATAAACCACCACACCCATCTATTGCTTTTTACATTTGTAGTTGGTCAACAAGTGACCCTAGAATTAAATGGAGACCCCCTACTTTTCCCAGTGGAACACCAGAAAAATGCAATAGGGGAATAATGGAGTTGGAGTTTATTTTTCATGGTAGCAGAGGAGCCCTTTGTATGCAACTGTTTAAGTCTTTTGGGCACCTTGTGGTCAGAATTATTCTTTTATGTTAGAAAACGGGAAATTTATGAGCCATCCTTATTTTGAATTTCTGTTAAAGGTTGATTGTAGTAGGCTTTTTGGAGGTGACAATTAACCGTCCAGAAAACCTAGTTATGTATTTTGTTTTCCATTCACAACTATATGTATTGGTGTTTATTAGTCACTTTATTGGTGAGAAAACCGAGGCTCAAGGAACTTTCCAGCATTAGACTGGGACTTACAACGAAGCTGGCAAGTCTACAGACTCTTACGTTCTGTTTTACCTTCATGCTTTAGTTTCTGTAGGGTGTGACCAGCAATATTGAAGTGGGAGAAGAAATGGATGAGACTTACTACACCCATCAAGTCAGTTCATGGACCAAAAGTCAGTCTTGTTGACAGGTGTTTGTTTATACAGGTGTTTGCTCTGTGGAAAAAGAAGAATTGATTCTTGTTTTGTTCCTGACTCTGCCTGAATGCACAGGTGGAGAATGTGGAATGTTGGTGGAATATTCTTAGAGACACACTTATTCATTGATTATTTATTTGAGAGTAAACATGGCACATTCTTACTTTCCAGAGGTCACTGCTTTAATCTGGACTAAGTTGTCTCTTTTTTGGAGGAGGTTTTAGCAGAGTGGTATGCGCGTGAGTGTATGCATGCATGTGTGCACGTGTGCAAATGCACATGCAATACTCTCCCTGAGACCTCGTGTGTCTATGAATACTGTTATTTTGTCTTCGCAATTAAACTGTAACTTTGCTGGATAGAAATTTCTAGTTTGTACATCTCAAGATGTTATTTTATGTTCTTACTAGATCTTTAAGCAAGAATTTTTGTGATACAAAAACTGGTGCACATATTTGCTGAGTTATTTTCAAAATAGCTGCAGGAAATCAGTTGGCTGTACAATTGGGGAAGACACCAGCAGTATGACTTCCCAAACAGCCTTCAGCAGACTAAGATATTTTCACATTTTGATATTATTTTCCTTTCTGTTCTCTTAAAAAAGGATTGAACTTACATTACCTATGAGAATACTATTTGGAGAGCTGATATGCTTACAACTGAACAGATCATTAAAATAGAATAAGTAATACATGGCTCTGAAGCATGGAGTAGAAACTCCTGAAATTTAACCTACCTACTGATTTTTGTAATTATAATCAAGTACTTCTGAAATACCACTAGACAAAGTAGTCCTCAACTACGTTATTTTGGGAGATGCTTTATAATTTCAGTAGATTCTGCTACAATTAGCTTCACAAATACCTGTTAGTTCAATTATGTATCAGTGCACCTGCAAATTTCTATGCAATTGACTAATTGATGTAGCTTGTGTTGTTGAAGAAATATTTTCTTGATTTGGAGATCTAGGAAAGTAATGCAAATTTAAGTGCTACCTTATTTATCCCTTTGTTTGTAAGAAGAAACATATTGGATCCCTGAACCCAAGTCATGATTTATATAATAAAAGTGTTATCAGTTTAAATAGCTTGTTCTGCTTTGTTTTGGCTGATATGTCAAGTCCAATTCCTATATGTACCTAATTGTACAGTGAGGCTTATACCATTCATTTCTACTTGGATGTGAGTTCATGAAGGATATACCTGTAGTCATCATCATTAGGTATGTTTGGAATCCTCTTGGGTACCAAAATCTGATGATCTCAAATTGCTCAATAAAATGATGCAAGATTTTTCATACAATTACACACATTATCTGTTGTACTTTAAATCATCTCCATATTATTTCCAATACCTACAATAATGTTCATGCTATGCAAATAGTTGTTATACTGTATTGTTTAAGAAATAATGGCAAGAGAAAAGATTTTTACATGGTTAGTACAGATGCAGATTTTTTGGGAATATTTTCTTTTCTTCTTTTTTTAACCAATGCATCTTAGCTATATTTTTTTGTTGTTGTTTTTGGTACCAGGAATTGAACTCAGGACCTTGACACTTGCCAGGCAGGTACTGTGTCATTGAGCTATATTCCTGGTCCCTGTTAGCTATACTTTTGAATATCTTTGATTTCTGATTAGTTTAAAGCCTCAAATGTGTAGTTCACAGATAGAAAAGATTGTTTTTCCTGTATGATTTTCAAAATGTAACTCTGCATACATGCACATGCACCCCAAAAACCTCAGAGTTGAAATGAACATTTGTTTCATTTGTAAGTTGTCTTAAAATTTGGATAAGAGATAGTTCTTTCTCTCCCTTCTCTTTCTTCTTTTTTCTATCTTTAACTGGCTGTAAGAGATAATTTTTTTGTAATTGAAAAATATAGCTCTTGATTAAGTAAAACAGATCTAGTAAATCTATAAATGTTTTAGGACAGTTTCCTGGAAGCAAGCCAAGCAGCAGGGGTCCTGTGTGAGTGATTAAAAGCCTACCCTGGGGGAGACTGGTCAGGGTTGGGGAGGTGCAGAGGGGAAGGGCAGACAGGAGCAGCGCTCTGATTTTAGGACTCCTGCTGGCTGATCCAGCAGAGAGCAGCAGGATGTGGACTTCTGCTCAGAGTTCCTCTCCACTGGAGGCCAAGGAGCGGTCATTGGTTAAGGACAGACTCAGGGTACAAACTCCCTATATAAGCACGCACTTCCATATGGGGGGGCGGGGGGGGGAGTGGCTGCGAGAGGGCCACAGGGCAGCTTTAGAAGTAACAGCATGGAAAAGCAGGGCAGGGACCACACACAGAATGATGAAAACAGATCTCACGGCTGGGGGGGGGGGCAGATCACACATGTCCATGTCACTGTCCCTGGCTTTTTACTCTCCTCTGCTTGAATTGTTACTTCTTATCATAATAAAGCTGTGGTTTGAGTAACTCAGGTGTTTCTATCCCAAATTCAGAAAAGAGAAACACTTTCTAGGAGAATTGGGGTGGTTCATATATGTTTGCACAATTTAATGAGCGGCCGCCCCACTCTGTTTCCCATGACATCATTCCACAGGTGACGATTGTTAACCTCTGTGCTGTGATATACATTTACTCTTCCATGTGATGTGCACCCACAAACTCAGTGAACATTTGCTCACCAGCATGTGTAAACCCATCAGGAGGATCTGCAGGTGCCCTCAGAGTGATAACATTTCATAGCTCACCCTTCCTTGCTAGATTGATTCTCAGCCTTAGATTAGAGGGCTTACATGAGTGGCCCACAGATACTTTTCAATTATTTTGAAGGACTGTCAGATTCATACATTGGGGGAATTCACATTGGTATCTGCATTTCAGGCATCTCTGCAAAGTTAGACCCAGCCAGTTACATTACATCTGCATTTTCCTACAGCAGTATTTGTAGAAACAAGTAGGGCTGTTTCCTTTAGTCACTATTTTCACTTTGTCAGTTGCTACCCAGGCAGGTGTCTCATTTCTGTCACCTGCTTGGCTCAAATAGTCATCTGCATTTGTGACTTTTATAGCACGTAGCTAGTGGGAATAGAGACATGTAATTTTGAATGCCTGGCCCTTTAGTTATTGCTAGTAATAAACTAAAAATGATGAATTACTTTATGAACCAAGCAGAGATTTGAAGAATTTGTGTTGCCATGCCATGCTGGCTTCTTGCTTTAGAATGGTTGGTCCTACAGGATGTGTTTCTTCTTGCCAATCCTTCAGGCTACAGATTTCCTAAGCATTTTACTGCTAATAGCATTCTCTGAGAGAGGGAAGACAACAGATATAAGAAGCATTGAGCCAGTTTTGACTGAAAGTAATTCTGAAATTCAGATAAATGTAAATGTTAAATAGATAAGCTATTTAAATCTTCCCCTTATCTTTAATATCTGTATTATCCTGCCTCTTCTATTAGCACATACGAAGAGTTTATTCTGTGCACTAATTATTTTTGTGAACACACACACACACACACACAAACACACACACATACACACATGTCCCAGATATTTTTGGTACTAAAGCTTGAACTCAGGGCCTTGTGCATGCTAGGCAAGTGCTTTACTACTGAACCACACTCCAGCCTACACATTAGATTTTTGCATGTCCTGTGTTTAAAACTGGCTTGATTTTCATGTATTTGTGACATGATGACAAGAGACTGTGATTAAATATCTAGAGGTCTCCAGCTTTGCTTTTAAATCTGTGATTGCATTTGGTTGCTCACTCTCCCAAGGCTTCAGTTTCTTATTTGGTAAAATCAGTAGGGTAGCAACTCCAGCAAAATACTTCATTTAGTTCCTCCATAATTCCCTCACTCTTTCTAGGAAGAACTGACAGTCAGGCTACACCTTTCTGACTGCTCCTGTGGCTCCATAGTGAGGAGCTTGGGTTCCAGGTAGCTGAATTTACAGAGAATGTCCTCTGGGGGAGCGTGTGGTGACTGAGCACAGGATGGAAGAGGAAGGGCTGGAAAGCTTTATCTATGACTGCACCATTCCTGAGTAATTTTTTGAGAAGATATCTCATGGTATAGTTTCCAGAGGCAAAATTTCACATTACCAAAGTATTATATGAAGAAAGGATTAAAATGTAGTTTAACTAGATGCATCATCCTCTAAAATAGCAACTTTACCTTAAGATTCTTCCTAGTGTGGTTTTGGTTTCTATGTGTTTTGCCAGGAGACAAGAGCACATTCACTACTCTAAATTCAGCTCATTAATCTTATCCAAGTAGACAGCAAGTAAACAAGAAAAAAGAAGAATTCAATGGAAAAAAATAATGAATCTGAAAGAGATTTTTTAAAAGGTGGAAAATAAAATCAATTTGGTGTTACTTTAATTTTTGATGATTTACAGTGGGAGTTCTAACACCCAGCAGGTACCATTTGACATTTTCATCTCCAGTGCTGTGAAAAGATTAGCACTTACTGGTATTGATTCAAGCTAGGATTTATACTGGGGATGTCATTTTTATGGAAAGCACAATAAAAGAGATTAGAAAGAAATTGCCAAGCGGCCCAGGCCTAATCAATCGTGGAATGCTTTCATTGGGAATTTGCAATTTTACCAAGCAGAAAGTTAACATGCAGGATAAGCAACAGGAAATAAAATTCACATCAGGACTTAAGAATGGCAGCCAAGCCAAAACAAGGCAAATCAGAGGATAGAAAACAGCATCTCTCTACCACCTTCTTGTGGGGTTTCCCAGGAGAAGCATCTTCCAGCCTGCTGAAATGGTGCAGACTCCATGGAAGGAGCAGAGGGAAATGCATGACCTACATTATTTCAGGACAGAATATCGAAGGGAGAAATTCTCAGCATGGAAGTCCAGTATGCTGTATGAGAGACAGGGCTTTTATCTAGTTTTGTTTGAAAGGGACGAGTAAGTCTGGGAAGTCTGATGCCAGAGAACTCAAAGTTCATTCTTCAACTAAACACAAAGCCCAGGAAAGACAGAAGGTAGAGGGAAAAGTAAGGTGGGAGAAAGTATCCCCTGCTGACCTTTGAGTCCCAGCTTGTGTGGCTATTGGTGTGTCACATGCAAACACTGGGAAAAATACTAAAAGAAATAACAAGGCTGATTCTTGACATTTTAACAGACATATTTGAAACATCTCAGGGGTTGTTTAGTTTATTCAAAAAATTTCCCAGAATGGAGATTATATTTACCACTGCATTATATCAATCACAATTTAAAAAGATTGTCAATGCTAGGATTGTGCCAAGAGATCAGATTTTTAAAAAAAAAAGTTACAGGGCTACATGCATTCCTGTGTTTATGGCAGCACAATTCATAATAGCTAAATACTGGACACAGTCTATTTGTACAACAGCTGAAGAGTGGATAAAGAAAAGGTGGCATTTATGTATAATGGAGACCTACTATGCTTTAAAGGAGGCTAAATTTAAGTCATTTTAGGAAAATGGGTGCACCTTGAGGCCATAATGTTAAGTGAAGTAAATCAGACAAGAATCTTGCATGGTTTCTCTTTTATGAGAAACTCAAAATAGAAATGAAGAGCAAAATGCAAGATAAATAATAGGAAGTTGGGAGATAGAACTTTTGCAGAAGGGAAAGGGACCAAAATATATTGTCAGGGGGAGGGAGGGAAGGCAATGGGAAAAGAATCAAGATGTGTCAATTCCTTAGGGTAAATGTGATCATCATGTACTGCAAACATGTACTAGTAAAAAATTAAATTAAAAATGAAAATATGCAAACAGTGAACACTGCAGGCCCACGAGGTACAGGATGAAAGGCTTGAAGGTGGATTGCTACAGGGCACAGTATAATTATGCTCATGGTTATATGGCTGAGGGTATAGGGACAGCTGAGAAGACAAGATTGTTGAATCTTTTGTAAAGAACAGAGAGAGAGGAATCATGGGTGGTTTCCAAAGGGGGATTACGTGAGAGCAGAGTTTTGAAGAATGAATGAAAAGGAAATGGGGGAAGAGTATCAGGCAGAAGGCGCGGCAGGTACAGAGGAAGAGGATCTGGACATGGTGGGTAGGACCTGAGTTGAGCGAAGGCCTGGAGTATGGACTTCACTTTGCAGGTGATGGGGAAAACATCAGCTGGTAT